CTTCCCCTACCGCTGAAGACAGTCCCTTGGAGACTCTTAAGGCATCTTTTTTTTTTTTAAGAGTCTCACTCTGTTGCCCAGGCTAGAGTGCAGTGGCACGCTCCTGGCCGCCACTGCAGTCTCAATCTGCTGGGCTCAGATAATCCTGCCATCTCAGCCTTTCAAGTAGATGGAACCATAGGTGTGCACTGCCACGCCCCGCTAATTTTTTGATTTCTTGTAGAAAGGTGCAATGAAGTCTCGCCAAGTTGCCCAGGCTGGTCTCGAACCCCTGGACTCAGTCAATCCTCTTGCCTCCGCCTCCCAAAGTGCTGGGATTACAAGCATAAGCCACCACACCTGGCTTTAAGGCATCTCTTTCAAACTGTGTGTTTGGGGTGGGAGTGGATGTTCAAATGGAGAGGAGCCTCCATTAGTTACAGGATCATAAGACACCCATGAGACCTCTCTGAGAGGTCATTAGGCATAGAAAGGCTTATGAAGATGAGTGGGGTGGAGGGAGGTTGTGGCAGCAGAGCATACACGGTACCCTCAACCTCCTACCAGCTTCCAAAAGGCAAAGATTATCCCTATTGCTTTGACATCAGTAAGAAAATAATTCAGATATTTCTAGAGGCAGCCCTGGCTCCAGGCAGACAGAAAGATCTGGCTGATCTGGTTTTCTTGGAGGCATGCAGTGGGGAGGGGAGATTCACCTGTGTGCCCTTCACTGGTCCAGCCATCTTCTACAAACAAAGTGACACAGACACAAGGCACTGCCAGGCTCATCTCCTCCAGCTCTGGCAGCCAGAGGGACGGGAAAGCCAAGCCTCCATCTGAGTAGCTTGTCTCTCCCACTTACCTTCAGTTTTAACCCTTTCTTTTTGGATGGTGGAAACTCCTCCAGATGTCAAGGCTTGCTGTGAATACAGTTTTAAGAGGAGGTCATGTATCCAAATTGATGAATAGGTGTTTCTTCCTGGATAGATGGTGTTTACAATTCCTGGGTTGGGAAAGTGTCATGTAACCTGATCATCCAACCCAGAGCACAAGGGCCACTTTGGGTTTCTGAAGGACTCAATGTGTAATTGGGGAAATTTAGGTCATAGCCACCAAATCACCTTCCCTTGACTGCATAAATCAAAGAAGGCTTGCTTGATCTTCATGATCTTGTTTTGAGTTAAAGTTATTCACAATGTTTCCACCAAAGATTTTTTCTTTTCTTTTTAAAATTCACTTCTCCAATGCTGCCATTAAGTAGGTACCGCTCCCAAACTCCCACTCATCTGCTAATGAATAATACTGCTTTCACATGATAACCCCCACAGGTAAACATGGGGCAGAGGGAAAATTGGGGGAAGAAGCAGGAAGAGAAGGGACTGTGGGCTCCAGTTGGGATGAGCATTTGCCACCTTGAAAGCCTGCCCAAGGCCGGGCGCAGTGGCTCACGTCTGTAATCCAGGCACTTTGGGGGACCAAGGTGAGAGGATTGCTGAGCCCACAGGTTCAAGACCAGCCTGGGCAACTTGGCAAGACCTCATCTCTACAATAAATCAAAAAATTAGCCAGGCTTGGTGGTGCATGCCTGGAAGGCTGAGCCCAGCAGGTCGAGGCTGAAGTGGCCGTGAGCGTGCCACTGCACTCCAGCCTGGGCAACAGAGTGAGACCCCCTCTCAAAAGAGAGAAAGAAAGACTGCCTATTTCTGAGCCCAGAGCCATGCGGGCATACCTGTGAAGGTGAGGCAGTGGACAGCAGGCTTTCATTCTAGGTCTCACCTCTGTTCCCACCCCCAGAGTGGCTAAGAGCAGTCTCGGAAATACTTCAACCCATGATTGAGCAAAAGTAGAAATTCTTGCGTTATGGGGGTAGGGGGTATTAAGTAAGCTTTCCTTTTAAAAAGAAGTTTCAGTATAGTCATCAACATTGCACAAAAAAAATGAGCCTTGCAGCTTAGAACAATGGGTAGGGAAGTATTCAATCACCAGACAGGTTTGTGTGTGTGTTTTTTTTTTTGAGTTGGAGTCTCATTCTGTCGCCCAGACTGGAGTGCAGTGGCCGCTCCCGGCCACCGCAGCCTCGACCGGCTGGGCTCCAGCGATCCTTCCGCCTCAGCCTTTCGCGTAGGTTTGTGTTTTTTTAAATGTTTGTACTTTCCTTAATCCCTCCCTAGGAAAAAAGGGACCACTTTCTTGCCTGTTCTACGCAACTCACTAGCACATGAATGAAGCCTTAAACAATTATCCTGCTCCCTAAATCACCAGTTTATTTTCTGACCTAGAGTTCCTGGGTGAAGGATCCATGGTGGAAAGTAGTAAATGGTTATGAAAAGTTTGGATTGACCAGGCTCAGTGGCTAGCCTGTAATCCCGCGCTTTGGGAGGCCGAGGTGAGTGGATTGCCTGAGCCCACGGGTTCGAGACCTGCCTGGCCAACTTGGCGAGACCTCATCTCTTACAATAAATCAAAAAATTAGCCGGGTGTGGTAGCGTGTGCCTGTAGTTCCAGTTACTTGGAAGGCTGAGGTGGAAGGATTGCCAGAGCCCAGCGGGTCGAGGCTGCGGTGGCCAGGAGCGGTTACTGCACTCCAGTCTGGGTGACAGAGTGAGACTTCAACTCAAAAAAAAAAAAAAAAAAAGTTATTCTGCAGATTACCAGGGCCCTGAAAGTGTGTACCTGTTTTCAACAGAAGTGTCATGATCCCAGAAGCAGTACCTTTCCATGGATCAGTCAGAAGGGCATAATGGAGAATAGGGAAACTAAAAAAGCTATTGACAGAGTGCAGATGAATCATAAAACCAGAATTTCAACCATCTAGACCAGCACTGTCCAATGGAAATGAATGGGAGCTGCAAGTCAATTTTTATTTATCTTTTATTTTTGGAGTCAGTGTCTAGCTCTGTTACCCAGGTTGGAGTGCCGTGTTACAATCATAGCTCACTTTAGCCTGGAACTCCTGTGGGCTCCAGTTGGGATAAGCATATGCCACCTTGAAAGCTCAAGTGATCCTTCTGCCTCAGTCTCCTGAGTAGCTGGGACCACAGGCATGCCACCACACCTGGCTTATTTTTATTTTTTTCCTTTTGTGTGGAGACAGAATCTGTTGACCAGGCTGGTCTCGAACTCCTGGACTCAAGCCTCACGTGTGAAATTTTATTATCATTCTTATTTATTTTATTGTAATTTTTTGGTGCCGTGACAGACCACACACGAAATTTTAAATATTCTAGTAGCCACTTTAAAAGGTAGAAAGAGTCAAGTGCAATGGTGTGTGCCTGTAATCTCAGCTAATCTAGAGGTGGAGGCAGGAGGATCCCTTGAGCACAGGAGAGTTCAAACCCAGCCTGGGCAACATAGCAAGGACCTGTCTCAAATTTAAAAAAAAAAAAAAAAAACAAGTAAAAATAAACAGGTGAAATTAATCTTTTTTTTTCTTTCTCGCAGAGACTCTTTTTGTTTGTTTTTCTTTTTTTTTTTAGGTTTTGCAGAGATTTTTTTTTGAGTTGGAGACTCACTCTGTTGCCCAGGCTGGAGTGCAGTAGCATTCTCACCACCACCGCAGCCTAGACTTGCAGGGTTCAGGAGATCCTTCCACTTCAGCCAAGCTGGAACTACAGGCATGCACCACCAAGCCCGGCTAATTTTTTATTTACTTATTATAGAGATAAGGTCTCACCATGTTGCCCAGGCTGGTCTCGAACAATCATCTCGCCTTCGCCTCCCAGAGTGCTGGGATTACAGGTGTGAGCCACCGTGCCCCCCCTCATGAAATTAATCTTAGCAATATATTTCATCTAATCCACCTACCCAAAATATCATTTCAACATATATAAAATTATTGATGCGATATTTTACTTTATAAGTCCTAGATATCCGGCATGTAGTTTATACATACTGTGAAAGGGAAAAGAAGCAGCCTCTGCCCCTGGGATTACAAGGGGGGATCAAAGAAATGGCTTCAGCCTTGAAACAAACGTTACTCCCTTCCTGGAGACTTTTTGAAGTTTTTTTTTCCCTCTGTAAATATTGCAAGATTAATTGTATCCTTACTGGCCACACTTGCATAATTAGCACATCTGTTTCTGTAACCTCGCTAGCTTGCTGATGTCAGCAATGAAATGTAATTGTATACCTAACCCTTAACTGTACCCCACAACAGCATAATAAAAAATATTTTAAAAAATAAAAATAAAATAAATAAAATAAAATCACATTAAAAAAAAAAAAAGAAAAGAAAATGTCCAACTCTAACTTTAGCTAACCAAGATGTAAGCTAGGACTACTTAAAGAAGCTCTGAGCAGCGGCTCCGGGCATCTTGCTTGGAATTCTCTTCCTGCAAGCGTTCGCTAGCTGGCAGAGCCTTGACTAATAAACTTCTCCTTTGTAAAAATTGAGTCGGTGGGCCGTTATTTAATCGCTCGAACCCTACTTCGATACACTGCATGTTAATTCCCATGTGCGAAATTTTCGGCATCTAAAGGGAAATGTTACTCTGTCAAAACAATAGTTATGCTTAACAAGAAAGTATTCCACGCTGCTTCAGTTTGTAATACACATTAATTAAAATTAAATAAAATTTAGGACCAGGCATGGTAGCTCACGCCAGTAATCCCGAATTTTGGGAGCCTGTGGCGGGAGGACCACTTGAGGCCAGGCGTTTGAGACCAGCCTGACAATATAACGCTCTCTCTTTCAAGAATTTTAAAAATTAAATAAAATTTAAAACTCATTTTTTCCGTCGCTCCAGCCACCTTTCTGCGCAACAGCCCCAGCTGGCGAGTGCTGCCATACTGACCAGGGCGGGTCTCCACTGTAAATAAATACACTCAGCCGTTCCACGCCAAAGCGACATCCCCGCCGGCACCGCCTTGAGCTCCGGGCGCCGGGAGCCGCGGCCCCTGCAGTTCCGGGCGTGTTCACCAGGTGGCACTAACAACACCCTCACGGGGCGGGCGTCCCACCCCGGAAGAGAAATCTCGCCTTCTCCCGAGTTCTTCTGGCTTCCGCCACCCCGGAGGCACACAGCCTGGTCTCGAGTGCTGAAGTTTGCGACGGAGCAGGATGGGCGGGAGAGCAGAGCCGCAGGGTCTGCGGAGCGGGTGAAGAGGGGCGAGGGGTTCCCGGGCGGGAGCCACGCGCGGGCCGTGCGTGCAGCCTCGGGACGCGCGGGTCGGGCCCTGGAGCCTGGGCGTTCAGGCGAGCGGACGTTGGGGAGACCCGGCTTCAAACGCGTCGCCCGGCTGCCGCCGCCCCCTCGCCTTCTCCTTCAAGGCCGCCGGCCTCAGCGCCCACCGACGGCACCCTGGGCCCCCAGCATTCGCGAGCCTCCAACCCGATGATCCAGCCGTCGCGCCCCGCGCTGCTGCAACCCCAAGATGTCGGAGACCGGGTGGAGACGCTTATGGCGAGTGGCTTTCCGAGAGCGCGGGCTCGGGAAGGGAAATTCGGGGCATGGCTAAGGGCCAGCGAGCCTTTTCCGCGTCCCAGGTGCGCACAGGGTTGGTGCGCAGTGGTGCGGGAGAGAGGGCGTCGAACTCAGGGCCTTGGAAAAGGGGCGGGGAGGGAGGCGAGGAGCGGCGGCCCGACAAGCCGAGGTCCGGCTGCCACAGGGCCGTCCGGGTAGAGGGCAGCGGGATTGCCGGGGCCTGGGCGGGGCCGTGCCAGGGAAGTGTGCCCGCGCGGCCTTCACGAGGTGCGTGGCCGCAAAGACGTTGCTTTGAGTGGGATACGTGGAGTGACAGAGGGAGGAAGGCACCTGGGCAGGTCTTTGGAACCAGACCCAGGAATAGTCCCAAGACCCAGGAATAGTCCGGGAATAGTCCCAAGCCTGGAAGCCGACGATGCCTTCGCGAGCTGGCCCGGGGCCCCCGTGCGTCATGATGTGGGTGGGCAAGGAGAGAGGGCACTCTGAGCTCAACCTCCGCCGACAGCCACCACACGTTTTCCAGGCGACGCCTCGCTTCTCCGGCGTTCTGATTGGTTGCCGGGGTCGGGCCTCCGGGCCGCCATTGGTGAAGGCGGAGTTCGGGCGGAGCCGGCTTTCCTCCCACCCCCTCCCCATCCCTCGCGTTCGGTCTGGTGAGAGTCTTTGCTGGTGACCAGTGGAGGCGGGGACGCGACGCCCAGCCTTGGGCAGGGAGGGGCCTGGGTTTCACGCAGCCGCAGCTTTCTCTCGGAAGTCTGCCTTGCACCAGAGATGGATGGACATTAAAAAATAGAAAAAAAAAAATCATTAAAGGCGGCCACTCCACGTTGATGTCTTTGAAAACTTGCTTACATTTTTCTCTTTCTGGGCCCTCCAGCTCTGGCCTCTAGATCTGAATTGAATTTAGGATTTTTTTTTTTTTTTTAAGGGAGCAGGAATTGCTTATGGAACCAGTTTGCAAGCTTTTAAGTGTTACTCATCCCCTTTGTTTGTGTATTACCTGTTTGGTTTTTCCCTCCCCTCTCCTGCCCCTGAAAAAACTGGATTATTAATCTTATTTCCCTTTAGTATCTTTGAGCTATATCTTTGTTCTTGCTCTGTCACCCAGGCTGGAGTGCTGTGGTGCCATTATAGCTCTCTGCCGTCCCCTCCTCCTGGACTTAAGCAATCCTCTCCTCTTGGCCTCTCAAAGTGCTGGAAAACCCACATGGGTGCCACTGCTCCCAACTTCTATGTATATATACTCTCAAAGGATTTGTGTCATTACTGTTGACATAAGCTTAAGACCATTCACTATTATTTGCTTTTGCCTATTATAGGTTAATCTATGCTGCTGGCATATATAGCATCTACTCTACATTAATGGGCTTGGAAAATTATAAAGTTAAAAAAGTGATGGGCTCTTCACTTATTCAATAAATAACTTATTAAGTCAATAATATTTCCAATCGCTGTGCTGTGAAATTAAAAACATTAAGACTATATTTCCTGCTATCAGGGATAGGGGTGAAGGACAGCAGACTTAAATTCCACACAATCCCTGTGGGAGCACTGGAGAAACAGCACCTGGGAGAAATGCGCAGAAGTTGTAATTACAGGTCATTCTTACATCCTTGCTGCAGTATAGGGCTGGAAGGAGCTGGGGAAGATTAACCCACTGTCTTGTGGGATTGTGTTCGAGGGAGAACTGGGTGCAGTTTTCCTGTTAGATGATAAGAAACATTCATTTGTCACTGTTGAACACCTACTGTGCACCAGGTTCTGAAGTCAGTTCTTAAGATACTACATGAACAAGACAGGAGGAGTTGTGACTGCTCCGTCCCGGACCTGCAGTCATAAGGGAGACACGTGCTGCTGTGGAAGCTCCAAGGAGGGGGCACTGAACCCAGACATGGGGGAGTTAGGGAGCAATTGAGGAGCTAGAGCAGAGCAACAACACATTGGCGTTTTCAGAGGTGAGAGGAAGGCAGAGACCTCCGCTATGGCTAAAGAGTTAGTGGGAGGCTGAGAGCATAGCCCAGAAGAATAAGCAAAGTCGCCTGAGTCATGACTGGCCTTGCAACCAGCTGCTTGGACTTTATCCAGAGAGGAATATGAAGCAACTGAAGGGTATTTGTTTGGTTGGATTTTTTTTTTAATTACAATGCAATGAAAGCTGGGTGCAGTAACTTACATCTGTAATCCCAGCACTTTGGGAGACTGAGGTGAGAGAATTGCCTGAGCCCACAGGTTTGAGACCAGCCTGGACAACTTGGTGAGACCTTGTCTCTACAATGAATAAAAAACTTAACCAGGCATGCGCCTATGGTTCCAGCTACTTGGAAGGCTAAGGCGGAAGGATCTCCTGGGCCCAGCAGGTTGAAGTTGCGGTGCCTGTGTGCCACTGCATTCCAGTCTGACAGAGTAAGACTCTGACTAAAAAAAAAAAAAAATTATAATGCAATGAGAATGAGTGACAAGTTTATGTGATACTTTGTAGTTTCTAGTACATTTATCACTACTTATATTTGTGTTCCATCTTTAATTTTTTTTCTTCTTTGGCTGGTTACTTTAAGTGGGATAAAACATTGTCTCTCATTGAAGGGTTTTGTACCTGGAAGCAGTGGTCAGATTTGCAGTTTTAAAAGATAACTCTCTGGCTGGGTGCGGTGGCTCAAGTCTATATTCCCAGCACTTTGGGAGGCCGAGGCGACAGGATTGCCTGAGCCTGCGGGTTCAAGACCAGCCTGGGCAACATGGTGAGACCTCGTCTCTACAATAAATCAAAAAATTAGCTTGGTGTGGTAGCGCATGCCTGTAGTTCCAGCTACTTGGAAAGCTGAGGTGGAAGGATCGTCTGAGCCCAGCAAGTCGGGGCAGCGGTGGCCGGGAGCGTGCTACTGCACTCCAGCCTGGGCGACAGAATGAGACTCCAACTCAAAAAACAAAGCAAAACAAAACAAAAAAAAGATAACTCTCAGGCGGGGTAGAGTGGATTAGAGGGGTCAAAGGTGAGGTGACAAGTGGGTAAAGAGATAGTGGCAGTCACTAAGGCAGGACATGACAGAAGTCTGAGCCAGGATAGATAGGTGGATTTGAGAACTATTTAGGAGGTAGGATGAGCAGGTGTGGAGAGACTGAGTCAGGAATGGCTCCCAAGTTTTGGGCTTGGGCAAATAGATAGAAAAATGGCAGGGTATTCACTGGATAGGGAGGAAGAGCCTGTTGGAAGTAAGGGAGAGGGACAAGTTTAGGTTTGGAAATGTCATTGGAGGTGGCTGTGGGACAGCTATGTTGGTGTATGCTCCAGAGAGAGGCTGCGAGCGTTGAATGGAAGGATGGACATGGAAGCCATGGGGATGGGTGAAGGAGCAGGGGAGAATGGTTCAGAAACTGAAGAGGAATACCTCCACTTGAAGGAGGAGAGACCAGAGGAGTGGGAGGAAAACCAGGCCAGTATTAATCTCTGAAGCCAAGGGAAGAGAGGATTTCAGAAGGAGCGAGAAGTGGTCAATAGTAGAGTGCTTTTGAGTGCCTCGGTGTCCTAAATTTTCTCTTTAGACTGAATAGCATGGCAAAAAGAGTGTGAACTTTCAGTCCTGGCTGATAGCTTCAACTCTTGTGACTGAGAACACATTTGTAACCTGTGAGCTCCAGTTTAATCTGTAAAATGGGTTTAAAATACCTAGCTCATAGAGCGTTAAGGGATTTTGAGATGGCGTGGGTTGATGCCTCGCCCAGCACTACTCTGCTAACAGTGGAAGGTGGGGTGGGCATGGTTGAGGCTCCAGATCACCATGGATGCCATTAGTGTGGGTTGGTGGGGGCCAGCCAGGGGAGACTGAGGGCCCAGTCAGCATGACTTGGTCCTGAAGCAGCAGGCATGGTGTCTCCTGGGTTCTAAGCCTGGATTTCTGGAGTATTCCAGTGTGGACTGGAGAAGAGGCAAGTGTGTGGAGAACTGCTGACCCAGTTTCCATTTTGGACATGTTGAGCTTTTTTTCTTTCTTTTTCTTTTTGTATTGGAGTCTCACTCCTTTGTTCAGGCTGAAGTGCGGTGGCACACTCATGGCCACCCCAGCGTTGACCTGCTGAGCTCCAGTGATCTTTCACCTCAGCCTTCCAAGTAGCCAGAACTACAGGTGCGTGCTACCATGCCCGGCTAGTTTTTGATTTATTGTAGAGGAGATCTCGCCAAGTTGCCCTGGCTGGTCTTGAACCCACGGGCTCAGGCAATCCACTCACCTCAGCCTCCCAAAGCGCTGGGATTACAGGCTGAGCCACCGAGCCCAGCCAGACATGTTGAGTTTGAGGTGCCTACAGGGCTTTTGAGGGGAGACAGAGAAAACATTGGTAGATTCTTGGAAGAGGCCTGATTGGGCTGGAGATGTGGGCGTTACCAGTGTGTGGCAGTAAAGATCATGTATGGGTGAGGTTACCCAGGAAGGAGATAAGAGGAGCAGCCCCATCCAAGGGGCGGGCCCGGTAAAAGGGAAGCTGGAGGAGAAGGGGAGAGAGACCAGAAACCAAGAGGAGATGCACTCAGCCATATGGAATGCACAAGAGAAGCCAAGTAAGATAAGGGCAAGCAGTCCTTGCTGTGGTAGGTCCTTGGTGAGCCCTCAGAGACCAAGTCAATGGAGATTTAGCTGGATGGCAAATTTGGGGGCCCTGGGAAGTAACTGGCACTGAGTACTTGGAGATGGTGTCGAGGCTGGAAAGGCAAAGGCTTTGAAGCCTGTCTCCTGGCAGAAGAGGAGATGCCAATGGGAGAGAGAGGCCCCGTGTGTGAGGAAGCAGGGCTTGTTGATGCCACAAAGTCTAGGAAGAGAGTGAGAGACACAGGACTCATGAGAATGTCAGTTAGCAGAAGAGCAGGGCACCTCTAGGGAGAGGGAATTGATGCTGAGATAGACCCATTGAAATATGCACACTTTGCTTGGTTTCACCTGTTGTCTTATCAAACCACCCTTTGATGCTTCAGAGGTTATTGGAATGTGTTATAAGCTCCAGTATTTACTTATCCTTCCCCAATAGGCTTATAAGGAATTCCATTTATAACTTGCTCCTTTTGTAGAACTTGGAATGTTCTCCCCTCTAATATTTCAGTTCCAGGTAAATAATTATGCGAAGTATATAAAGGGAACTTTATATTCATCTTAATGTTTTAAGACTACCGTATTCCATTTATTTAAACATAGTAGTCCAAAAGCCACTTAATAAGGGAAAAGGATGTCTTTTTGGATGGAATTTACCAAGTGTCTTTGGAGAAGGTGACTTTTATTCCTGGTTGGATTTTTTTAAATGTGTCTTTTCACAGTTATTTGTGATTCTTCTGGGTTCTAGAAATGAAGGAGGATGCTGTTCTGTAATGGTATCACCAGTATTGAGAGCTGAGGTTCCTGGAATGTGCTTGAGGAGGATGTACATTAATTTTGGAAGAAGTTCTACCTCACTGGATGATGCTTGTAACAAGATTAGCCATGTGTATGACAGTGCATGGGTAGGAGAGACAGCAAACCTGGGAGTGGCTACTGGTCTATAGAGCCATCTGTGATCTGCTTAGGGCCCAGTGAGATAGGTGGTGGAAGAGAAGGAACAAGTTTTAATTGAAGACAATACATAGATTCTACAGGAAGTGGCACTTGCATTTTACACTGTGGCTGAGTTTAAGGTTTTATCTGCTTTGGCTTGATCCCCTATGTATCCCCAAGTCCTGCAACTGAAGGAGCCTGGAAACCAACAGTTCAAAGTTAAAACACTATGTTCAGTTGATTTTGCTTTTGCAAAGATAAGGAGATGACCAGTAACTTTTTTGAGTCAGTGGCATGGAAATAGACATGTTGCTCAGTAAGCAAAATTATTAACAATGTTAAGACCAGAGACACCTCTTGCAGTATACCGTATCCTCAACAACAGTCCAGTATTGTTAATTTCTGGCTATGCTTTTCCCTTCTCTGAGTCAGCCCAGATGAGTTACTGAGAGATTCTTGTAAAGGACTTCGCTCGTCCAGGTGAGACTTGCTCAGACAGAGCTGCTGACACAATGTCATCTTGTCCTGCAGTTACATCCAGTGATCAAGGCTTTCCTGTGTGGCTCCATCAGTGGGACCTGCTCAACCCTCCTATTCCAGCCTCTGGATCTCCTGAAAACACGCCTGCAGACTCTCCAGCCCTCAGACTATGGGTAAGGCCTGCTGCCCCATATTTCACTGAGGAGTTGCTTTCAACAACTTCTCAGACACAGGAGCAGCTTTACTGTAAGTTAACTTTCCCTTCTGTTGGATGCTCAGACAGAAACACAGGCCCTGCCCAGCTTTCCTGTGTTTTGTATATACTTTTTTCTGTGAATTTATTTTTTAAAATATTTAACATTGCTTTTGATTTAAATAGGGTTTTGTCCTGAGCAACTACCTAGATCTATTTTGATGATATTTACATTTTATTTTGCTAGCTTGTGATGTTATACCTGTATTATCTGGTTTTCTGGAAATAGTATATCAGTTGCCTGTTTTGTGCCCCCATATTGAGCTCTGCACTGTATACAAAATGTACATAAAATGGGAGGTACTCTTATTGCTTGCAGTGTAAATGGACAAGTAAACATGAAGCCAAACTGAACACACAGGAACTAACAGTAGTTCCAAGATGCATCATAGAGATTCTTAAGTGTTCTAGAAAAGAGTCTATAAAATAAGTCTTTGAGTGAGAAATTCTTCTGAGAATGGGCCAACCTTCTTTTGAGATGGGCTAAGTGATTTTTTTTTCTTCCCTGTCTCGATTTTGTCTGCCTTTCAGGTCTAGGCGCGTTGGGATGTTGACTGTACTCTTGAAGGTGGTTCGTACAGAGAGTCTTTTTGGCCTTTGGAAAGGGATGTCCCCTGTAAGTTGCCTTCTGGATCTGGGTTCCTTATGCCCACTCCTTTGATAACCAGTCATTTCTTATCCACCTTACCAGCTCTTAAGGATATGTGAGAAGGCAGAATTGGTGGGAGGACCTCCATGGACCTCCTGCCCGTCTCTCATACTGTCACTGACTTCTGTTTGAGGGCTCAGGGAAATATGACATTGGCACGCTTTAGATATGATCTGTAAGTGCAGCATAGTCTCTATAGCAGATGCAGCTGGCACCCCACCTGTCAGGATAGCCTTGCCCTGACCACTTTAGTGAAAGTGGGCTGGGACCACCACACTTGCATCTCTTGCCTAAAGGCTTTTTTTTTGCCTTGGGAACTATCTTTGCTAGAAGTGCCAAGGAATGCATGCCCAGCCCAAACCCACAGTAGTCCTTAGCCATTGAAGATGGGAGTTGATGTTTAAAACCTCACCTCCCTACCCCTCAGGTGTAGGATAACTTTAAGGTGTGTTCTACACTGATTCCCAGAGTTCCCCAAACAGATTAAGTTGCTCACAACAGGAGCTGGTTTTATAAGACTCTCTTTATTGACTGCTTTCTTTCCCATCTCACTTTCCCCAGTTTCCTGTTGGTGTTCCTTCCACACTTGAAATAAAGTCCTTACATGCAAATCATCTTGGGGTCATTTGGGAAAATCCAGATAAGATAGTATCTTACAGTGTTGGGTCTTGGATTTCTTTTCTCCCTCTGACCATTTGCAGTCCATCGTGAGATGTGTCCCTGGCGTTGGAATCTACTTTGGCACTCTCTACTCTTTGAAGCAGTATTTCTTGCGAGGCCATCCCCCCACCGCCCTGGAGTCGGTCATACTGGGGGTGGGCTCTCGCTCTGTTGCAGGGGTCTGTATGTCACCTATCACTGTGATTAAAACACGCTATGAGGTGAGTTTGACTGCTTTAAGGCCTTGGGGTGGCTATACAGAGCCTCTGGGCTCTTGGGGGGAGTGGCTGCTGATGTCAACTCCTGATTTGTAATCAAACATAGAGTCCATTTGTAAGCAGGCCACGCCATATGTGACCTACAGCCCGTGGTGGCCTAGTAATGTCATATAACCTGTAGTTTGCCTGGTTCAGTGCTCCGTGCCAGTCACTGGTTCTGTACTCCCTTTGCAGAGCGGGAAGTATGGCTATGAGAGTATCTACACTGCCCTGAGGAGCATCTATCGCAGTGAGGGACACCGGGGCCTCTTCAGCGGCCTGACAGCAACTCTCCTTCGTGATGCGCCCTTTTCGGGAATCTACCTGATGTTTTACAACCAGACCAGAAACATAGTACCCCATGGTAGGGATAAAGGAAGGTGTGGTGGGAAAGAGCTATCCCTGAGCCATCAAAGCCTTGCCATGTTCTTTGGGATGTGAGACTATTTGTTTTTCTTAGCAGCTCCAGATTCTTTAGGAGAGTTTTAGGAACTGAGCCATACCGACACTGTGTCAGGAACTGGGCTTAGTGCAAAGGTGGATGTGACAGACTTGGCTGCTGCTCTTTGGAGTTTATATCCTTGCATACTACTAGATTTGGGTGGGATAGGGCAGCGAAGGGGAGGGAAATAAGACATGTTTTGTAGAGGTCCTGCAACAATACTTCCCAAATCTAATCTTAAGATTGCTAGGTCCCATCCAAGGCACATCTTAGATGAGAAACTCTGGGGTACAACCTTAGAGTCCTTTTTTTAAGAAGTGCTTGATGTGATTCTTGTTAGACAGGTTGAAGAAACACTGATGGGTTAGGAGTTCGAAGAAAAGTATTTTCACCTTCCTTGCTGTGTTCCCAATTAAAGTGGTTTTGGACCCTCCATTTAGGTGGAGATGAAGGTGCCAAACATAAGGCATTCAGGCAGGCCCACCCCACCCCACCAGTAAGCCCATGCTGGGTAGACATGGGGCAAAATCGATGGGTAGTAAACATCCACTCAGGTAGAGCAAGGTGTTGCTAGAAACACATACTGTTGAATGAATCTGCATTCAGTAAGGTGTTGTGGATAATTTAAGTGAGGAACTGTGACTTAAGTCCCTCAATTAGGAAAGCTGAAATGCCTGCCACCATGACTGGTGACTAGCTGCAGTTGGAGTTCCTTGGGAGATTTGCTGCTCCTCCCCAGGCACCAGGACATGTAACCCTCCACATCACAGCCTTATTTTGCAACAAAAAATAAAGGCAATAAGGAAGCATGGATGGGCAGTTTTTGCCTTCTCAATCCCTCTTAAACATTTTTTAAATTGATACTTGGAAATAATCTTAAACTTCCAAAAAAAAAAAAAAAAGCCACGAGAACATTACAATGTACTTTATTTTCCTGAACCCCCTGAGGGTAAATTGCAGGCATGATGTCCCTTTACTTTATACTTAAATACCTCTGTGTATTTCCTAAGAATTAGGACATACTCTCACCTAACCATTTTGTCAAATTCAGGACATTTAGCATAGGTACAATTCTTTCATATATAGTCTATATTCTGATTTCTCTAATTGTCCCAATTATGTATTTTGTAATAATTTTTGTTGTAAGTTTTCAAGATTATAGGCCAGTTATATACCTCAGAATGGCTTTGTCTGTTTCTTTGTGATCAGATTTAGTTCTGCCTTTTCAGCAGAGAACCACATAAATGATGCTGTATCCTCATTGCCTTGTATCAGGAGACTCATGACATCAATTTTACCCATTGTGAGTGACAGTAACGTTTTATCACTTGGATAAGGGAGTGTCTGCTAGGCGTCTCCCCTGAAAACCCAATTACTTTGTTTTGTAATTTCCAAGTATCTTTGTGGGAAGATAACTTTGAATCCATATTAACATCTCATTTCTTTCTACCACATGTTTTAGTATTGGTTAATAATTCTAGCCTGAGTCAATTATTGTGATGTGATTGTAAAAAGGTGCTTTTCTAACTCCATCATTTCATCTACATTTATTATTTGCACCTTTAAATTTTTAATTATTTGCCTTGTTTGAATACAGACTTTTCTTGCTGTTGGGAAGAATTAGTAGACAACTTGCACTGACCTTTATCTGACGAATGTGAGATTTATAATTGCAGTTACCTCTGTTCTATTTCAGACCAGTTGGATGCAACCTTTATTCCCATTATAAATTTCAGCTGTGGGATATTTGCTGGTATTCTGGCCTCGCTGGTAACTCAACCTGCAGACGTTATCAAAACTCACATGCAGCTCTCCCCAGTGAAGTTTCGGTGGATTGGCCAAGCAGTGACACTCATTTTCAAAGTAAGAATATAGAATAAATCCTAGTTCTTGTTCTACTTTGAGATCTCGCTCTCTCTCTAGAGCAGTAATTCTCATCTTTCATTCACATTAGAATCACCTAGAGAGCTTTTAAAAATCTCCATTCCTTAAAAATTAGCCAGATGTGGTGCATATCTGTAGTCCCAGCTGCTCAGAAGACTGAGGTGGAAGGCTCACCTGAGCCCAGGAGATCAAGGCTGCAGTGAACCATGATCATGCCACTGTACTCCAGCCTAGGCAGAGTAAAACTCTAACAAAACAAAACAAAAAAATCCCCATTCCCAGGTCAAAATATAGGCTAATTACACAGAGCCCTTGGGGGATGAAACCCCAGCAATTTTTTTTTCTTTTTACGTTCCCCAGTGATTTCAATGTGTTGCCAAGGTTGAGAACCACAAAACCTATATTTTTTTTAGTATGGGGCACTTGCATTAGGACTACCTGTGATATTTGCTAAACATGCAAATGGCTGAACTCTGCTTCAGACCTACCAAATTGGGAATCTGGGTGGACCTATTACTCTAATTAAGGACATAGGGTAAAATACTATAAAGTCAGGAAAAAACACACACACACAAACACATTGTTTTGTTGTAGCAGTTTGCTCTAATACAAATGGAAAAATAGTATTATTGAAGATAAAAAGGGCAATGGATGTCAAATGCACTGAGTACTATCTGTAAGCTGATGAGTTGGCTTTTTTAGAACATGTGCTGTGTTTGTTAGAGGTAAATGTGCATTTGTGAATCTAATATTCCTCACACTATTTAGGTTCTTTTTTCCTATATCTAAAGTCATATAGTTTTAAAATAATATATACTTCAGCAAACACGAAATTACAAATCAATCCAGGTTATGCAGGAGGGAGGAGGAAGAGGTGTTTGTCTTTAATTCTTATAAAAATAGGGCCACCAAGAGCATATAGTCAGTTACAAAAAGGTACTCCCACCTGATAGACAAATCAAGAAGACTACTTTTCCTTCCGCCTGGATCCAGGATGCAAGGCTTGGCAAGCAGACCTCTGTCTGGATTTCATCTGCTACTCAGGGCTAAGTGCTTCTGTGCAGTGTACAAACTGCACGACTATACATGGCAACCTTGCATAAAGATTTTCAGCTAAGCTAGGTGTAGTGGCTCACGCTTGTCAACCCAGCACTTTGAGAACCAGAGGCAAGAAGATTGCCTGAGCCCAGGGGTTCGAGATCAGCCTGGGCAACTTGGCAAGATCTCGTCTCTACAACAAATCAAAAACTTAGCTGAGCATGGTGGCACTCACCTGTAGTGCCAGCTACTTGAAAGGCTGAAGCGGAAGGATTGTCTGAGCCCAGCTGGTCGAGGCTGCGGTAGCCATGAGCGTGCCACTGCACTCCAGCCTAGATGACAGAGTGAGACTCTGACCCCCCCAAAAAAGGATTTTCAGCTAAGAAATTCCCCTAGATAGAGCAGGCCTAAAAAGGTAAAGCCCAGCAACTATACAAAAAGATATTTTAAAGTTCATTAGTTGTCTCCTTGGATCCATTATTTATAGTTTTGGCATAAAGTTTAGAAACTGAGGCCCAAACGTGGGGTAACAGAGACCCTCATTCTGGTGCCAAGTGGATAATTAATTGTATTGCTACTATGCTTCAAGAGTTTTGACATTTATTTTCATTATAGGACTATGGACTGCGTGGCTTCTTTCAAGGTGGTGTCCCCCGGGCTCTCCGCAGAACCTTGATGGCAGCAATGGCTTGGACAGTGTATGAAGAGATGATGGCCAAGATGGGCCTGAAGTCCTGACCAAGAGAGGACTGGGAAAGGGTGGAATCTCTTGCCCTGGTTGGCTTCTGCCAAGGGCTGCTGCTTTTCACTATCCTGGAGTAAAATGAAGTCCTTCCTGGAAAGCCAGGCAGAAGATGGCTTTGCCTTCGATAATCCCATTCAATGAGAGAAAGGTGGACCTGATTCAAGCTATCAGAATCTCCCAAAAGAGGAGTCACCAATACTTATAGCACATTGGGGAGATAGGAGAGTACTTGCATACCCTGCAAGGCTACTTGAAGAGGCCTGTCTGGGGAGAGCTCTTTCAGGTGGCTGCACTTCAGCCCCCACTTACGCCACAGTGCCTCCTTGGATATGTTCTTGGGCAAGAAATCACACAGCCAGAGAAGCTGTAGGCTGCCTGGTGGGCCAGAGGAACTCCAGGGGGAAGACTGGATCTGAGGAGAGGAATCACTGTCAGTCTGATGACCAGGCTGAAGACTGTCAGAGGTGATGTTAGGATGAGGAAGAGCAGATGTCTTTATTAAATTGGTTCCTAATCAACTTCTCAAAGGGTCTGTGGCTTCGTAGGCTCTAAATGTTCAAATAAAATGTTTTGGTCTTGGCCCTGTACCTCTAAGTTGTTCTGGCATTTTTTTTTTTCTGCAAATAAAAGTATTTTATCGTTGAAAGCTGTTTGGAAAATCTAGTGTCATCACTCTTTCTAAAGTAACATTATTTCTAGGAAGGCTGGCTCTTGACCTATATAGGTACCTAAAACCTAAATTCTTTTAAAAACAATCTTATTTTATATACCACGGCAATCCACTCAAGTATACAATTTGATGATTTTTAGTAACATTACTGAATGGTGCAACTATCACCATAAATCAGTTCGAGAACATTTTCATCCCCCAGTGAGATCCCTCATGCCCATTTACAATTAATCCTTCCTAGCCACAGCCCACCACTGATCTACTTTCTGTCTTCATAAATTTGCCTTTTCTGGCCAGGCGTGGTGGCTCACGCCTATAATCCCAGCACTTTGGGAGGCTGAGGTGAGAGGATTACCTGAGCCCACAGGTTCAAGACCAGCCTGGGCAAATTGGTGAGACCTCATCTCTACAATAAATCAAATATTAGCCGGTGTGGTGGTACTTGCCTGTAGTTCCAGCTACTTGGAAGAATTACCTGAACCCAGTTGGTCAAGGCTACGGTGGCCATGAGCATACCACTGCACTCTGGCCTGGGCGACAGAGACTCCAACTCCAAAAAAAAATTTGTTTTCTGGATACTTCGTATAGATGGAATCATACAATAGTCTTTCATTCAATAGTCTTTGCATAATGTGTTAGAGGTTCATCCATGATGTGGCATGCACAATATCTAGTTCTTTTTGTTATGGCTAAGTCATATTCTATTGTATGCATATACTGTATCTATTCATGAGTTGATGAATATTTGAGTTGTTTCTTTTTGGAGGCTATTATGTATAGTGCTGCTATAAATATCCATGTACAAGTGTTTGTGTGGATGGATGTTTTAATATCTCTTGGTTATATACCTTGGAATGAAATTGCTGGATCATGTGGTAACTGTTTAACTTATGAGGAACTATCAAACTGTTTTCCAAAGTGGTCGCACCATTTTATATTCCCAGTGCAGTATATGGGGGTTCTAACTTCACATGCTTGTCAATACTTACTATTGATTGTTGTTGTTTTTTTTTAATAGGCATTCTAGTATTTCAAATTTAGGAAGGAGCCATTACTTTATCCAAGAAGCAGAAGGGGGTTGTTTGGTCTAGTGCTCAAGAAATGGGCTCTCCATCCAGGCAGCCCAGGTTGAAAGGTTGCTCTCTGCTTAGACATGATATTGAAATTGTGTTTAGGAAATAGGGATAGTAGTATTTCCTACTTTCTAGGCTGGTGATGAGAATTAAATGGACATTTTATTTCTGAAATGTTGCATTCGCTTTGTAAGGCTGCCACAACAAATTGTCACAGACTGCATGGCTTATAAAAACAAATGTATTCTCTCAGTCAGAAGGCCAGAAGTCTGAAATCAAAGTGTCAACAAAATTGTGCTCTCTCTGAAGGCTCTAAGGAGGAGACATTCTTTGCCTATTCCACCTTCTAGTGGTTGCTGGCGGTCCTTGGCATTTTTGGTTTGTAGATGCATCACTTCACTCTGACTTCACCAGGCCCTCTCCCCTGTTTGTCTTTCTGTGTTCAAATTTCTCTCTTAGGGACACCAGTCATTGGATTAGGGCTCATCCTAACCCAGTATGATCTCATTTTAACTTTATTACATCTGCAAAGACCTTATTTTCAAGTAAGATTGCATTCACAGGTACTAGGGGTGGGTTAGGACTCCAACATATCCTTTTAGGGACAATTCAACTCATAACATTAGGTTTATGTAATGATTTATAAATTTAAGCTTTTATTTTATTAAGCTTTTATTTTATTAAGATTTTAAATTAACACACCCCATTTAAAATAATTTAGGGCTGGACATGGTTGCTCACATCTGTAATCCCAGCACTTTGGGAGGCTGAGGTGGGAGGATTACTTGAGGCCTGGAGTTCAAGACCAGCCTGGGAAATGTAGTGAGACACTATCTCTACAAAGGGTTAAAAAAAAGAAATTAGCTGGGTGTGGAGGAAAATAGTCATCTGGTTACTAAAGATATGGCTATGTAAGGCAGAAGCTAAAAGAAGATGCACAAGCAAAGGTTTCAAGCTGCGGTTATACGCTCTCTAAAAATGTATCACTATGAAATATTTCAAGCATCACAATAGTGGAGCACATGGTATATTGGCCCATCATTCACATCACTCAGATGAAGTAATTACCAAGATTTTGCCATACTTGCTTGATTCCCACAACACTCTGTCCTCGGCCCCTTTTCCTTTCTTTTGTTGATGAAAAAGTCAAGTTCTATAAAATATTCAGAGATGTTTATTCTGAGCCAAGTATGAATGACCAAGGCCAGAGGCACAGTCCCTAGTGGCCCTGAAAGCATGTAACCAAGATGGGGAGTCATATCCTACAAGCCATAAAATCTACTTGGGCGTGGTGGCTCACATTGGTCATCCCAGCACCCTCGAAGGCAGAGGCAAGAGGATTGCCTGAGCCCATGGGTTCAAGACCAGCCTGGGCAACATGGTGAGACATCTCTACAATAAATTAAAAAATTAGCAGGATGTGGTGGCGTGTGCCTGTATTTCCAGCTACTAGGAAGGCTGAGGCGGAAGGATCACCTGAACCCAGCAGGTCGAGGCTGAGGTGGCTGTCAGCATGCCACTGCACTCCAGCCTAGGTGACAGAGTGAGACGCTGACTCAAAAAAAAAAAAAAAAGTCATAGTGAGAGGACAACAATAGATTTAGGTTAAGAGCATGCTATTGAGAGACCCAAGAAACCAAGAAACTTATTTGCTGTAAAAGTAGCGTTTAGTTCACTATATTTCATATATTCCCACCTCAAGTTTACTATATATTTTGTGTATTCCTACCTCATGTATTTTATGAAAATCTTAGTACTTTGAATCCTACCTCAGACCCCGTAGAATTAGGCATATGTCGGGTTTTAAGCAGTGTTTGTATTTAGAATCCTTGGGTTAAGCATTGTCAACCCCAAACCAGTAGGCTAACTTATGCTTTTA